GGCATTCTCTACTTGCCCGTTGCCTTGAGGGTAGGCAACGGAGGAGAAGGTGTGTTTGATGCCCCACGCCTCCAGAAGGGCACAGAAGGGGGCTGCCTCAAATTGTGTCCCATTGTCGGAGATGATCTGCTGGGGGACGCCAAACCTTGTGAGGATGTTCTTGAGGACGAAATGACGGCACTTCGCCTCTGTGATACTGGCGAGGGGCTCAGCCTCCACCCACTTGGTAAAGTAGTCGATGGCCACAATGATGTACCTGTTGTTGGAGGTACCCCTCGGCAGAGGGCCCACAAGGTCTATCCCCCATCGAGAAAAAGGGACAGATGTGCTGATGGGGGCATAGTTGACCGCTGGCCTGCCGGGGGCTTTCTGGAAATGTTGACATGCGGTGCACCTCCGGGCAAGGTCAGCACAATCCCTGGCCATGGTTGGCCAAAAATAGCCCTAGAGAATGAGCCTTCGGGACATGGAGAAGGGTCCCTGGTGAGCTGAGCAAGTGCCACTGTGTACTTCCTCCATTGCGACCTCGGCTTCATCAGGATGAAGGCACCGAAGTAGCGTGCCATTGTAAGATCGTTTGTAGAGCCTTCCATCTTCGAGGGTGTAGCTAGGAGCCCTCAGCTTTGCCAGTTTGGCGCGGGTCTCATTCTCGGGTAGCTGCCCTGTGGAGATGAAGGCGGTGATATCTGAGATCCAATCCTCTTGGCGTTGTTGTATGTTCATAACGGGGCTCGCATGGATACTTGAGAGGTTGAGTTCCTCGATTTTGGCAATTTTGGAGATGTGCTCGGGGGAGTCGGCCGAGAGCTTAGATAGTATGTCGGCCTCGGAGTTCTGAGCCCTCGGTATTTGAGTGAGAGTGTGTGCCTCAAATACCTTAAGCAACTCCTTGGCCGCTTCCTTGTATTGTTTCATTCTTCCCTCCTTGGCCTCATATTCCTTGGAGATTTGGCCAACGACCAACTTGGAGTCGCATTTGATGTGGATCTGCCGAGCCCTCATGTTGGGCCTTCGCTGGAATAGTAGGAGTCTGTGGGCCGGGGGTTCCCGGGCCATATACTCCATCAATGGACTTCTTCCATCTTTGGGATTCTTCATGAACTTCTTGAATCTCCTAGCAAAAGCAGCCATATATTCGTCAGATAAAAGTACTGAAGGGTCAAAATCATTTACCTTTGATGTGCTGGCAGTGAGGGCTGTAGTGGTCCTCTCTTCTGGTACATCTTCTTTTTCTTCAATCATTTCAAACTCATGAGCTTTGAGATCTGAAATGAGCTTATCAGTGGGATAAGTCTTCACATCCTTGTTGGCTTGGACATCAACCACCTTCATTTTCCATGCTGAGGGCAGTCCCCTCAACACCTTAAGGTTGATCTCCTTGGTGGTGAGTTCCTTGCCAAGCTCAGAGATCTCTCCAGTGAGAGTGAGGAGCCTGTCATACATCTTGGAGATGCTTTCACTAGGAAGAAGCTTGAAGTCATCAAACTTCTTGTTGGCTATTGTCAGCTTGTTGTCCTTCTCTTGCTCATCACCAGCTCTAATGAGCTCAAGAGTATCCCAGATTTCCTTTGCAGTCTTGCACTTCTTTATTCTGTTGAAGTACCTATCATCGATGGACTTGTAAAGAATGTCCTTAGCAATGTTGTCCAGATTGTACTTCCTTCTTTCTTCAGTAGTCCACTCAGATTTGGCCTTATTGATCATCTGAGGTCTAGTGTTGTCAATAGCATGTTTAGGGTTGACCTTCTGGAAGCTTGTGAAGGGCCCAATGGCAAGTACTTCCCACATCTCATCATGCAGAGCACAGAGATGTGCCTTCATCCGGATCCTCCAGTCATCAAACTTGAGATCTGAGAACATAAGATTCTTGGAAAGGGAGTGATCCATTATATCAGATTAAAAAAAAGTAAAACAGTAAAACAAGTGGATCTTTGTTCAGCAAATAACCTAAGAGATTATTAGAACAAGGAGGCTCTGATACCACTTGTTGGTCCCGGTTGTACTGGATACAGTCTAGAGGGGGGGTGAATAGACTGTATTGGTTTTTAGCTTTTTCAAGCTAAGTACCGGATTTAACAGAATAGCCTGTTCTGTTGGCAGAACAGACTGGCAGCGGATGGGGTTCTGGTAGGGAGTTCTGTTAGTAGCCTCAGAGAAGCAAAGGCAGTAGGCCTTCTGTTAACTCACAAGACAAGTTCTGCTGAACACAGATACCAAGTCTTTGGAGTTAAACAGTTCAAACAAAAACAATGAATGTAATGCAGTAAGTAAATGACACCAGGACTTTTTATAGTGGTTCAAGGAACAACTTGTTCCTCTAGTCCACTGTTCCACTAAGCTTGTAAAAACGTCCGTTTACAATGCCTTAGCCCTATCACTTAAGAAGCTCTCCACGTCTTCTTCAAGTGTAGATGTCTTCTTGGATGCACTTCCGGCTTCCCTAAGACTGGTCCTTTCACTGAGCTTTCCCAGAAGTATCACCACTTCACTGCTCCAGGTACTTGGACGTCCTTCTTGTGAAAGAAGAGGTTCTATTTAGAACAGAGGTTCCTCCAACTTGCTTCGTTACAAAGGATTTGTATGTGATGAGCTTGAAGAGTTGAAGAACACTAAGAACTTTGCTTGAGTTGGAAATAAGGATTTTTCCAACTTCTGCCTTCTCTTGTAGAAGATGATGAAGTTTTAATCTCAAGGAGGCTTTTTGCATTTTTGGCGTTTGAATATCTTGTTGTAGCAAAAGTTATGGCAAAGTTGTCTGGTTGTTCTTCGTAGTGTATCTTTTATACTGAGGTTGTCTTCCCGTTAAGGAGAAGGAGGACAACTGCATTAAATAAGCGAGCAGTTGACTTGACCAGTGGGACCCGGTAAAGTTGGCGGGTTACTATTTTGGGATAAAGTTATCCTGACATTGCGGCCAATCATCTGCATTTACTCTACAGAGTATGGAAGGCATTAAATGTGCATTTAATGCGCGCACTGTAGCTTTTCCGTTCAAGACTCCTAGCCGTTGAAGGAATCTTTCGGTTGGTTTCCCGGCTTGGTGGAATTCTTCTAAGTGTGAGGCCTTCTGGTGTCTTTAGCAGAAAGTTGATCAGAGAAGGTCTTGAGCACTTCTGTTGAGAAGATATCCAACAGAGAACCAGGAGGGTTTCTGTCAGAGTAAAGGATAACAGAGACCCTGAGGTCTTCTGTTCTAAAGCAGAGAACGGAAGGTCTTCTGTTCAACCAAAGCCATAGAAAGGGTCTTCTGCTCAGGAGGCTTTCTGCTCTGTAGGTCTTCTGCTTAGTCGATTATACTAAAGAATTTTACAAAGGAAAATTCTAATACATTAAGTCTAAAGAGGGGTACTCTAAAGTCCTAATTAACCTAGCATCATCAAAATCTAATTACAGATATTCCTTACAGTCACATCATCTAATAAAAGATTTACACATATTTATGCGTCAGTTACATCTTTCTGGTCACGAGTTACATTTTGCATACACCTAAGTTAAATTTTCCCATCAACACTAGTTACATAGCACAATAAAACCTAGCTATTGAAACAAAGCGTAAATAAAATGTTCAAATAATGGAAGACAATCACACATTTAATGTAACTGGAGGCAAAAGTAAATGTAACTCAAGCCGCAGTTTTATTACATAATTGCACTAAGTAATTACAAACCAAATGTAAACTATGTAAGTCATAATCATAAACTGTGGAAGAGAAGATGTAACTTATAGAAACAAACACAACAGTGTTCAATCACATTGCCTCATGGCTTAAACATAATAACTTGGGAAAATATCTAACCAAAATGAAAAAATATAGAAACTACTTCAACATCAACTAAATGTGTTGTTGATTCACAACATTTGATTGCAAAAGTATGGCGCGAAAACTTGTGGAGATCCAAAAAAGGCATCAAAGAAGTCATTCCCCCAACTGGATGAGAAAAATAGCCATGTGGAACCATGCAATTAATAGTATCCTGAGATTAAAAAAGAGAAGAACACCAGTATGAGAAAATGTAGATTAAATATAAAAAACTTAAAAGAAAAATCATATTTATCTGTACAACAGATTGGGAAACTAGTTTAGAATTACTGGCAACATTTTGGGATTTGGACCTGCGAGCTTTGACTATTTTACACTGTTTTTCGACAGTGCTTTTCTTTCGTGTATTTCGCTGACCTTTAGGACGAGAGCGTGGAGGATCCAATATTGTCCTTCAAGCAGATTCATCCACAACAGAAGTATTTCATTGAATATCTAAAAAATGTTTAATAGACTCGTATCCTTGCTCACATACTCGCCTAGCTTCAGGAAAACCAGCACTTGCACCCAATACTGTGTTGAATTTCCTAGTCATTTGCACTCTCCTAACAGAATCTTCCAATATTTTCCCAAACATAATATTGGTTCCTTGCGTAAGAGAAAGATTAACATTTGGCAGAATGGCAGCCTTTGTCCATCTAGACAGTATATAAACTTGGGGAATACATTTGACACAATGGACATTATATATACGCAAAATGTGTCTACACAAAATGCCAACTTCTGAAAACATCTTGCAAGTGCATGTCACTTTGTTGTCATTTTGATTAAAAGTAACATTGTGTCTAATCAAATATACCCCATTCAACCAAACATGATACTCATAATCATTACAATTCTGTGAGATTAATTTTAAAAAATGTGACATACACTTCAAATATTGTTCTTGGAACAGTTTGAAAATCTCAAGGGTATACACATATCTAGCATGAGATAACAAACTGTCTTGTAGCAATACCATCTCAACGGTGCCTTCAGAACATCTAAAATCATGACCACTTTCCTCTACCCTCCATTCATCAGCAACATCACAAAACATTTTGAAAAAGCACATAATGTTGTAGTCTTTGTAAGTCTTCTAGATATGGATCTATTTGTAGATTCACTTCTTTGGGAGGATAGAACACCACTAGAGAAGTAATCCTTTGAAAAAGCAGGACACCACTTTTCTTTATGACTGTACAACCTATTCAACCATGTGTTGTCACTGCATTCATAAACTCTATTCAATCTGGAACAGATTTAAAAAGAAGGCAAGATTACATATGAAAACCATATATGTTACACCAAATAATTGAGAAAGTTACATCAAATAATTAAGAAGTCACATCAAAAAACAAATAACTTACTCATTCCAATAGAAATCAAACTCTGCAATTGTGTCACATTGCTTCACAACATAATCAAACAGAGGAACAAAATTTAACTTCTTGCGTAGATGCATGATGTGTTTCTTTGAATTTTCATCTATATGCCAAGTGCAGAGTCTATGTCTTGCTCCAGGAAACACAGATTTGATAGCCACTGCCATGGAAATGACTGGTCTGTCATGAAACTGATGGGGTGCTTACCACCCATAGATTTAACAAAATTTTGAAATAACCAAACAAAAGACTCCACCTTTTCGTTCAGCATAAAGCCACAACCAAACATTATGTTTTTACAGTGCTGATTCATACCAATAAACGGACCACATATCATGTCATACTTGTTAGTCCTGTAAGTTGTATCATGCACAACTAGATCTCCAAACCTCTCATAATCGGATCTCATTTGACCGTCTCTCCAGAAAAAACAACTCAGTACACTGTCATCCAGCTCAAAATCAAAGAAAAAATCAGATTCCACTTCAGCCCTTTTCTTCAATATACCAATCAAAGTGTTAATATTAGTACCATCAAATGTTTTACTTCTTTCAAATTCTAGAACGTTATAAGCATCACCTTTTGTGAATCCAAGAGCACTAACACCACCAGCCTGTTTTTGAAGCATCCTGTGAACATCTGAAACCTTTGTCCCACTCTCCTTCATCAACATAATAAACTCAAGATACTCACGATCAATGCCTCTATGTGATTTCAGCAGGTGTCTTTGATCAATTGGACAAAAAGCATGGTTGTGATCAATAATATGCTTTGAAACAGTCCATTCACCATCAATACTAATAGAAAACTGTAACTTCGCTTTACAATCAGACCGATAATCTAACTTCGTATACATTTTGTTTTCAGTACCCTTTTGTTGTTTCTTTCCTTCTTTCCAACAACAGTAAGACTTCATAATCAAACTTACATTGCCACTCCTAAACCTCTGTTTGTATCTATGAATACCAAATCCATTTTCAAAAGCATGATCGTTGTAAAGATTATAAGCATCTTGTTCACACTTGACACTAAGCCCAATAAGTGATTTACTCTCAGTTGACTGATGATCAGTTTCCAATGAACCTGACAATTTACAAAACATATATATGAAAAACAAACAAAAACTACCTACATTGGAACTACGTTACATTAAATTGAACTGAAGTTACATATCATGTAACACAAGTTACATAAAATTGAGACACGAGTTAAATACTATGGAAGTTACATGACAGAATAAGTACCTCTGCTAAGAAGATATAACAATTTAGAAGCTTTTGAAACAATATCTTCTTCTTCTCCTGAATGTAAAATCAGCAAATATGAATACTCATACAATCCAAATTCTCAAGCAATCGTATAAAACAGAGAACAAAAGATATTAGACAATACTGCAAGCACAAATAAACGAAATTCACACAACATGAAACATTAATACTTACCGATCGATTCAACATAAATCATTTGATCAACTTCGAAATCATTGTCACCAATTGAATGGATGATGTTATCGTGTGTATCAGAAGAAAAAGTATCTCGCAATCCAATTGAAGAATCCACAAGAACAGAATCATCGACAGAAAAATCCATTGAAGAAGCCTAGAAAAAGTATCGAAGAGATGACAGAGTAAGGAGAAAGATCCGTTAATTTTGAGCTGCAGAAATCTTCAGTCGGTTAATGCCAAGATGCAACCTAATTTTTTAATAAAGCGAATGACGACGTTTTGGGATCGGGCACACCATCCTCATGGTGCGCCGATCCCAGAATAAAAAATGCGTCTGGTGACAATTTATTGGTGGCTTCGTGGCAATGGATAACTCATACAAAGGATCCACGCCTTTAAAGCTTAGGATTTCTGTGATGGAATAATTGTTTCTTATATTCTTTCTTTCGGATCATCACACTTTTTTGTGCTTTTCATTGATTCAAGCTGCTCTTTGAGTTTCAATGCACTTGTTCTTTCTTAATGATAAAGATTGCTTGAAATAGAAAATGTATTTCCTACGTGAGCTGGGACTGGCACAAAAAGCTCAACCATTTGAATTTCAAAACAATCAACAAACTGGCCAGAGAACACATTGTAGAAGGACTACCAGACATTGTGTACAAGAAGGAGACCCTCTGCAGTGCATGTCAGAAAGGCAAACAAGTGAAGAATTCCTTCAAACCCATTGCTGGAGATCTTTCTACAAGTCCTCTAAATCTGATTCACATGGATTTATTTGGACCTGTTGAGACTCCAAGCGTTGGTGGCAAGAAATATACCCTATTCATGGTTGATGACTACTCCAGATATACATGGACTGTTTTTCTATCAAAGAAAAATGAAACTCTTCAGAAGTTTCCATCTCTGTTAAAGCAACTTCAGACTGAGAAGAACTTGAAAGTGAAGACAATCAGATCAGATAGAGGGACTGAATTTGTCAACCAAGTCATAAAGGACTTCTGTGATCAGAATGGAACTTTTCATCAACTTTCTGCCGCCAGAACCCCTCAACAGAATGGCGTAGCAGAAAGAAGAAACAGAACCTTAAAAGAAGCTGCAAGAACAATGATTGCAGAATCTGGATTGCCTATGAGATATTGGGCTGAAGCAATCAACACTGCATGCTATACTCAGAACAGAAGCATGATCAACAAGAATCACCAGAAGACCCCTTATGAACTCTGGAAGGGAAGAAAACCAAACATCAGCTACTTTCATGTATTTGGATGCAAGTGCTACATTCTCAACAATGGAAAGGAGCATCTGAAAGTATTTCAAGAAAAGGCTGATGAAGGAGTCTTTATAGGCTATTCAAACACCAGTAAAGCCTATAGAGTACTCAACAGAAGGACCCTACATGTTGAAGAATCCATACATGTGAAGTTTGATGAAAGCATCTCTGTTAAAGAGGTAACAGAGATTCTCAAGGAAGTCAGCATAGAAGACAGAACACCAGAACCAACAGAAGAGGTGGCAGACAACCCTGCATTTCCTACACCTGCACCAAACCCCCTTCTGTTGAATGAAGATGAAGACTCTGAAGATGAGGAACCAGAGAGACCAAGACAGCAGCTGACAGAACCAGACCTAACATGGTTAAGAGACCATCCTCCTAACCAAGTGATTGGTCAAATCAGAAGTGGAGTTCAAACCAGATCCACATCTAGAAGAGAAGCAATGCTTGCCTGCTATATATCTCAGATGGAACCTATGACAATTGAAGAAGCTCTTGCAGACTCAGATTGGATCAATGCTATGCAAGAAGAGCTCACTCAGTTTGAAAGGAACAAAGTATGGGAACTTGTTCCTAGGCCAAAGCACCAGAATGTCATTGGAACCAAATGGGTATTCAAGAACAAAGCAGATGAAGATGGCAACATTGTAAGGAACAAAGCAAGGCTAGTAGCTAAAGGATATTGTCAAGAAGAAGGAATAGATTTTGATGAGACCTTTGCACCAGTTGCCAGACTTGAAGCCATCCGAATCTTTCTAGCATATGCTGCCTACAACAACATCAAGGTCTACCAGATGGATGTCAAGGGTGCATTTCTGAATGGAGATCTTGAAGAGGAAGTTTATGTGGAACAACCACCAGGTTTTGTCATTCCTACTCAATCTTCTTGTGTCTACAAGCTTAAAAAGGCCCTCTATGGTCTTAAGCAAGCTCCCAGAGCCTGGTATGACACATTGTCCCTTTTCCTAGTGAACCATGGGTTTACTAAAGGAAAGGTTGACAAAACTCTATTTCAAATCTCTGTTGCTAATCATATTCTGTTAGTACAAATATATGTTGATGATATTATATTTGGTAGTACTAATCCAGAACTGTGCAAGAAATTTTCTCAAGTGATGCAGAGTCAATTTGAAATGAGTATGATGGGAGAACTCAGTTACTTCCTAGGACTTCAAGTCAAACAAGTTCCGGAAGGGATTCTCTACTCGATTTGGAAGATACTGACATCCCTCTGCCAGAATTCAAGAAGAAGTTCTGCAGAAAAGGGGAAGAAGTAGAGAAGGTCAACATCAAGAAGAACCTGCTCAAGAGGGAATTTGAGCTGCTCATAAACATTTTCCACAAATGTTTATGGTGCAAGTACACCTCCACAGATGATGTTACAACTGCCAATGCAAAGGCCCTGTATGCAGTGCATCATGGGGTGAACATCAATTGGGGACAAGTCATGGTGAAGTCCCTGATTGAAGTCATCAAGAAAAAGAACCCAAAAACTAGCCTCTACTCTGGGAAGCTAGGACACGGTCTACTGATTTCAGAAGTGCTCCTCAAACAAGGGGTACACTTGAGGAAGGCTTCAACTTTGGATCACACCAAGGTAATCTTCTTAACTGCTTCTCCAAATAGGGAGAAAGCCATAAAGGCTGAAATGAAGAGACAGCTTCAACTTGAGGCTAAGAGACAACAGGGAGAGAAGGTACAGAAACCTCTCTCTGTAGCCCCTTCTGCTGAGAAGAAGAAGAAGAAGAAGAAGAAGAAGAAGACCGAAGAGGAAGCACCTGTTGCCCCTTCTAAGGCCGGACAGAAGAGGAAAAGGACCACAAAACCAAAGAAGAAGGTTTCTAAACCTGTGGTTTCTGCATCTGAAGGAGTGGCAGACACTCAGGGGGAACCAGAAATCCCCACCTCTGCTGCATCTCCTGAACAGAACAGGGTGTCTACTTCAACAGAACACCCCAGTCCTGTCAAAGATGGGTATCTGTCCTTGCTAGACAGACAGTTTACCCGGGTTCTTGAATGGAGAAGGTGGAGAATGGGACCCCTCTCCAAAATAATCCAGTATTTTGACCATTATGAACCAGAAGAGGAAGCCATTCTGAACTGGGTTGGGACTGATGATGTCTCGAAGTGTTTTGCCCTCAACTTCCTTCACTCTGTTCTTGAGAAGAAGAAGGCGAGCTACAAAGGGAAGGCCATTCTCATCTCCTCCCCATCAGAAGAGGCTGTCAAACCTCTAGGAGAGGAAGAAATTGAAGCCTTTGAGGAATGGCTATTCACAAAGATGGCAACAGATTCTGTACAACCCCATCTCAACCCAGGAGAGCCCTCTGTACCCAAGACAGAAGGGCAAGCAATGATGGAGCATATCCAGGAGTGGAGGACTTCTTTGCTCAAGGAGAACATCATTGAGGTAATCTCTCCAACCCCCTCTGTTATTATCCCAACAGAACCCCACATTCCCTCACCTCCTTCCAGCACCAGAACCCCTCCACCAGAACACCCTGAACCTATATCTCCTAAACAGAAAACCCCCACCCCTCCTCATTTACCTAAACAGAAAATTGCATCTCCCTGCAGAGCAACTATTCCATTCAGAAACCGTTCACCCTCACCTCCACCATCCCCCCCTCAACAGAATGCCTCACCTGTTCACTCTTCACCCCAGCACCAGAACCCCTCACCCCAACAGATCTCCTCCTCATCCTCTGAATCTGATCATCAATCCCCTCCTCCAGCATCATCTCCTCCACAACAACCTGCAGAGAACCTTAAACCTGTATGGTTTCTCAGAGACTCAGACCCTACAACTGTCTCCCCCATCTCTGCACCCCAAGGGAATTCTAGGCATTCTACTGCCCCCAATCCCTCCTTCAGAAAGAAGAAGAAGATAGTCAGGAACACAATTCCTATCTACTCTTCCTATGAAGACTCATCTGACATGGATGGATTCATGGTCAACAAGTCATATCAAGCTACATCCAAGAGACAGAAGACCCCTCCTCTGACTCAACTAGAACATGAACAGCTTGTTCAATCTCTGTCATCTGTCCAAGAACATCACCCCTTGCCTAAGGGAAGAGGTCTAGAAATGCCTCAAGCTGATGGACAACAGAACAACATTCCCTTCAACAAATTTGTTGAATCTGCTGAAGAATTTGGAGGACAGATCCTCCAAGGCATGAACAAACTGATTGAGATCAATGACAAACACTATGGGCACCTTGCTCATGTGAATGACAATCTAAACTCAGGTATGCAGTTCATCTCTGATCGTTTTGAGAACCTCACAGGAACTCTCAACAACTTCATAGCCTCATCATCCGCCAGAACAGATGCCCTGTCAACAGAAGTGGTAGGCATCCACAACACTCTTTCTATCTTCCAGCAGACTCTCCTGAGTCAAGGCCATGCTATTCACAATATCTCAGAGCATCTTGAAGCTCTGAAGGAATCTGATGCCAGGACAGAGAGGCACTTGACTTCTATTGAGGCAATGTGCAGAATTCATCAAGATCAGGCTCAAGCACTTCTATCCACTGACAGAGACCGTTATCAGAAGATGGTGCTCCTTGAAGCCAACAACAAGGACATCTTCTCTGCCATACAGAAGCAGCAAGGTCTCATTGAAGGCCTTACCTCTGTCACCCAGACTCTACCAGAGGCCCTGGAATAGATAGCCTCAACCCAGGCCTCAGAATTCCAGAAGATCAGTCTTATGATAGAAGATCTGAATGATGCCAAAAAGGGGGAAGAGGACCCTCAACAG